TTAGGGAGAGGTTTTTTCTTGGCCCCCGGGGCAGGTATATAGGGAAAATTCGTCAACCTATACATAAAAAAAAAAAAAACATGCTTCCCCAGAACCTCCCCTAAAAATGGAACAATATAGAGAAGGTTACCCCGGGATCTGCGCAAAGGATAACATGCAAATTTGTGAAGCGTTCCATATTTAAAAAAAAAAAAGGGGCCAGGAACCATCACGACCTAAATGACCAGATGGATGACCGGTCACCAGGAAATGGCATGGACCACCTCTTAGTCCCTCTCCTGTGGCCCACAGGCTCCTCTCACTGCATCTCTGGTGGCCAGTGGGCGGGTGGGGCAGCAGGGTTTGGGCGGGGTGAGGCGGGCATGGCAAGGTCATTAGCCTCCAACCTGGGGCTGGGCTGGAGGCCTAACGTGGCAGTTGGAGATCAGGTGTGGAAAGAGGCCCAGAGAGAGGCCCAGAGATAGTCCTGGAGACGCTGACTGGCATAGAAACCGACCAATCAGAACCAAATCTGGGTGAACTGCCTGATCCACAGCTGCTGTGGTGGCTGTGGATCAGGCCCAGAGATAGTCCTGGAGACGCTGACTGGCATAGAAACCGACCAATCAGAACCAAATCTGGGTGAACTGTGAGTAGCCAATGGCTGCCTAGGAGGTGGAGCTTGTGACGCTGACTGGCATAGAAACTGACCTATTAGAACCTAATCTGGGTAAACTGTGAAGTTTAGAACCTAAGATGGGGGCTGAGGAGGGGTTTTAAGGGCAACAGCTGTTTGGTGTAAGGTGTAAGAAAGCAGTTTCAATTTTTTAATGACTGGTTTGGCAGTATAGTGCATATGGCTGGCTATCAGACCAGATATAGGGATTATGTATTTTTGTCTGCCAAGAGCATCTCTTCCTGCTGAAAAAGCCCCCCCCCCATTTAAGCAATTCTATCCTATATAATCTATCTATACTAATAAAAGGGTAATATGCTAATTAGACTGGGTCAACTGGCCGTCTTCCGGACGTCCTACTTCCTTCTGGACAAAGCCATGGTGGTGGTGGCTGAAGCAGAGGCAGTTAGAGGTAATCAGGCCAGCAAGGGAGGGCAGTTGGGGTGAGATCAGGCCAGCAGGGGGTTAGGGGCTATCAGGCTGGAAGGGAAAGGCATTTGGGGTAACCAGGAAGGCAGGGGAGGGCAATTGGGAACAAAATCAGGCCTGTAGGGGAGGGCAGTTGGGGGTGTCCAGGCCAGCAGGGGAAAGCCATTGGGGGTGACCAGGCTGGCAAGGGGAGGGCTGTTTAGGGTGACCAGACCGGCAAGGGAGAGCAGTTTGGGTGATGAGGCCAGCAGGGGAGGGAAGTTGGAGGTGACCAGGAGGAAAGGGGAGGGCAGTTGGGGGTGAGATCAGGCCGGCAGGGGAGGGAAGTTGGGGGTGACCAGGCCGGAAGGGGAGGGCCATTGGGGATGAACTGGCCTGCAGGGGGAGGCAGTTGGGGGCGATATCAGGCCTGCAGTGGAGGGCAGTTGGGGGCGAGATCAGGCCTGCAGAGGAGGGCCATTGGGGGTCACCAGGCTGGCAGGGGGAGACCATTGGGGGTGACCAGGCAGGCAGGGGGAATCAGTTAGGGGCGATCAGGCTGGCAGGGGAGGTGGTTAGGGGCAATCAGGCTGGCAGGCAGAGGCAGTTAGGGGTGATCAGGTAAGTAGGCAGGTGAGCAGTTAGGAGCCAGCCATCCCCGATTGGAGAGGGTGCAGGCTGGGCTGAGGGAACCCCTCCATACACAAATTTCATGCACCGGGCCTCTAGTATTTAAATAATAGAAAGTAGAACTACATATTAATTTATTTTGAAATAGCCTCCCAGCTTACCACATTCAAGAATCTCTCCTAAATTATTGTTGCTAACCCTAGTATCAGCTAGCATAATTTTAATATAACTCCATATTGTCCAAATTCACTGAATACTCTCCTTTCCAGTCTCATAGTCTTCTAAATTTTGTTATGAGATGAACTCATTTAACTCCCCACTGTGCACAAGCAGCACTGTGTGTAAAGTGTTTCATGTCCTGAATAACAGAGTTTTAATATGATAAATGAGTTCCTGTGAGGGAAAAAAAATTCTATGTAATGAAGGAAAATTTTAATTTAGAGGGAATATACCTTGAAATTAGTTAAATAAAAATAGTGTTAATTGAGATAAATAATTTGATATTGGTTCATACAACTGTCAGTAGTCTATTGCAATATTCTGAATGAATAACTTAATAGAAAGTATACCTAAACTGAAAAAGTCATGCCTAATAGAACAAATTTTACAAAATTGTAACAAAATAACATCTATTTACTTCTGAGATACTCTCTCCTTAGAAATTGGTATCATCAATCTCTGACACCAACCCCAGCTGTCACTATACTATCAGAATATGGAGTAGCTTAAGTGTTTGTTGTGCACTAAAACACCATAGTGGTTCTCTCAGTAAATTCCCATTTTGATTGATTTTAAAGTGTATTCTCTCTAAATTAAGGTTGGCCTATTTTATCTAGGAATATTATATTCTTCACAGAAACTGTCATTTCTCTCATAAAGCCACTGTCAATCTTCTAATTCTTCCACAGCCTCCCTCAGACTGCCGCCTGCAGCTAAAAAAGTCAATGAGCATTTTTAAGTGGTAAGACTGTCCAGTGATTTTACTTATAGCACAAAACAATGTATTCAAAAAGACATATTAAAATTTTACAAGATAGTAAACAAATGTGGGTTCTGAAAACAGTCCTTTATTACCAAGACACTTACAAAATACAAATCCCAAGATCCCCAGGAGCCTTCTTTAAAACTAGGCCTACATTCTGAGGTAACCATGCTTCTATTGGAGCTTGTTCCCTGAGAGAACTCATATGGCATGTGATCTATCAATAGTCAATACAGTAAAAAGCACCTGGTAATCATCCTACTCCAGGATAAGGTGCAGAAAATGTACGTGAAAATCTCCTTATGAATTTATATTGCACTTCTAAGAGGCTTTTCCTTTTGTGCTTCCACATTTTCCTAATTATTTTAATTGCCTGAGCAATTATCATTTGTCAGTTCAGAAATTAAAGGGAAACAATGATAAATACTAGACTTTGAGTATTTATTCTTGTCACTAATAACTTTTTGCTTATTACCTCAATTTGAATGGCAATATTTTACTTTGGGTGAGAGTTATTTTTATTTCAACAAATAGCTAAAAGTCTTTGTGCTTTCCCTAAAATGATGCCTCTAAAGTGAGGCGAATTACATGTAGAAAAATCACATCAAAAATTTTCTTTTCATATAAAAGCATAAAGTCATAAGTGCACATTTCTTTTTAGAATTTTCATGTGAAGTAGATGCAGTAGAGGAAAAATATGTAAACTAAAAAACAAAATATAGTACTATATGGGAGGCTTACTCTTTTGGTTATGCTTTAGGAAGTCACAAGAGTATATATTTCTCACTGTAAATATGAACTGATATTAAGTAGATCAGCAACAAATTCCAGAGCCACAAAATCTTCCCTGATATGAGGAAAATTAGATAAGAATTCAGGAAGACTGGGACATCAAAAGTTTGGGGAGGGGGATACCAAATAAAATTAAAAGCCAGGAAAAAAAATCTAGAAATCTGCATAGCAGTTCACTTGCATCTTTACAGAATACTAAGCTGAATGACCATTGGATGAAACTTCATAAGGTCAGGCAAAGAGCAAATATCAGGTCAAGAATAACTACTAGAGGGGGGAAAGTAAAAAAAACAAAACAAAACAAAACAAACAAACAAACAAAAAACCAACTACCATTATTCATACAAAACTAAGAGATGTTTGATTTCTCAGCAATTAGAGGAGAGAGACCTCATTGAACACCCAAGGTATTCAGTATGAACACAAGGAAGTTCACAAAACAGGCATAGAACTAAATTGGTACTGGTAAATACATTTCTAGAAGTACACTAAGAAACCTTTTAAAAAGATGTAAAAGGATTTAACAAACATACAATTATCTTCACTGCTTGGCAGAACAAAATTCATTACTGTTTATAGAAAAATATGTATAAATAGACACACAGAAATAATATTCACAATATGCAAAATACAGTAACATTCAATAGAAATTGAATTGTGAAAAAGCAGAAAATTGGTTGCCAGGGATCTAGAGGGAGAAGGAAATGAGGAATTCTTGCTCGACAGATACAAAGTTTCAGTTAATGCAACACAAGTAATTTCCAGAGGTCTGCTGAACAACTTAGTAACTACAGTTGATAATATAGTACTATGAACTTTAAAATATGTTAAGAGCATAGATATCATGTTAAGTGTTCTTACTACACACAACACACACACGGTAATTCAAGAAAATTTCTGGAGATGATGGATATGTTTAGTACCTTGATTGTGGTGATGGCATCACTGGTATATGCATATGTTCAAACTCATCAAGATGTATACATTGAGTGTATGCAATATTATGTATCATTTATATCTCAATAAAGCTTAATAAATAGTATGCTAAAGGTCCCAGCAATTCCACTTCTGGAGATATATCTAAACAAACCCAAAACACTAATTCAAAAGAATACATGCACCCTTATGTTCATTGCAGCATTACCTTCAATAGCCAAAATTTGGAAGCAGCCCAAGTGCCCATAAGTAGATGAGTTGATATAAAAACTATGGTACATTTACACAATTGAATACTACTAGTAATTGGTCGTAAAATAGAAGGAAATCTTGCCCTTTGCAATATCATGGATGGACCTGGAGAGTATTATGCTAAGTGAAATAAGCTATTCAGAGAAAAAGAAATAGCATATTATTTCACTTATATGTGGAATCTAATGAAAAAAATAAACTAACAAACACAACAGAGACTCATAGATAGAGAGAACAGACTGAAAGCTGTCAGAGGGGAGGGGAGTTGGGAGACTGGATGAAAAATGTGAAGGGATTAAGCAAAAAGAAAAGCAAAAACTCATACACAGACAACAGTATGGTGAATATCAGAGGAAAAGGCTGTTAGGGAAGGTAAAGGAGCATAAGGGGTTATGATTTCTGACAAAAAAGAGAGCTGACTTGGAGTGGTGATCACAACATACAATACAATATACAGATGATGTATTGTAGAATTACTAAAGGTCCAGTGCATGAAAATCGTGCACGGGTAGGGTCCCCAGGCCTGGCG